GAGCGTGTTTAGCATGCTGCAGACAACATGTGCCTTGGAACGGACTTTAGTACAGCACCTTGCTTTATACAAACCAGTGAAAATTCAGCCTGGACATTCTCGGCGTACCTGTATCTGGAGACAGTCTGGGACATGATACCTTCCCTCCTCATAAGGGAAAAGGACCATTACGGTAGTGGAAATGTAATCGTTTGGGTAGGTATTCATTTGGACCTCTGCGTGTGTTGGACAAAGGCTCACTGACTGCTATGGCACATAAAGAGCAGATCTTAGTTAGACTTTTCAACGGTGCAGTTTGTTCTTGGTTCCTGTTAAAGGATGACAACACTCGCCTATATAGGACTCAGCTGGCCAACGATTGCTTTGAAAGCGAGGATATTCGCTGTATAAATTTGCCGGCTACATCTCCTGATCTTAATCATATACAGCACATCTGGGACGTTCTTGGAAGGACAACTTAATCTCGTCATTCCCCTCCGAAAATTATCTCAGAGTTGAAAATTGCCTTGTGGAAGGAGTGGGATCGACTGCCACAAGGACTCCCCAACTGCTTCTTGCTTAGTATGCTGTCACGCTGCGAGACCTGTCTGGTTGTGAGAGGGGACCATACGGCATATCAGACTCATTTTCAGTTGGATATCACATCGCGAATTTTGGATATCCGTGCACTATGAGCTTATTCGTACATAATATGTCTTATAAATCTGTCTTCATACCAAATTTCATTAAAATCTGCCCTTTTGAAAAAAAAATACTATTGACAGAACTGTAATGAACTTCGTGCAATCTCTTGACGCTCTAAGAGTGAATGGGACTCTTCACCGCCGTTATGCTATTTCGCCTTTCACCATTTCGGTGTCAGGCCAATTCGCAGTCAAGATATAATTTTCTTTCCATGCCTATATTATAACTTAGCAATATGTATTTTGCGTACTGTGTTTTGTGTATTACTTGTTTATGCGTATTTATCTGTATGCCTTTTTGTACTTTAACTACTTACCATCTGTAACAACACAGCTTGCCTCTTCAATCTGTAATACTGTGGAGTTCCTCACTATGCATTTCTAAGTTACTGTTGGAAGTGAAGAATCTTAAGAACTGATAAACGAATAATGGCTTGATTTTGTGTGACAGGAAACGACAAGACAGATGGGTGAACTAGCCCTTTATTATTACAAAATTTTATTATTAAAGTTTCATTATTAAAGTTATTATTAAAGTTTAACAGAACTCCGTCTTGGAGTGTACAATAAAGCCGACACTTCGGCTTGAACTTAAGATAACCTAAACTAATCTAAACTAAAAATAAAAATAATCTAAATAAACTAAACTAAACTAATATAGAGGTATCCGAAGCTATCAAAATTCTAACAGTTAACATTAATAGACTGCGAAGCTATCAAGGGCCTAAAGTACGGCCGAGCGTGATAATAGGTTACGAGAGAGTAGCCTAAAATTGCGGACGCGTGCAGCCAGAATACCTGGTATCTCTTTCTCGAAAACCGAAGAACTTTGGAGTTAAGTACCGCTCTTCCTCATTATGTATTCAGACGTGATTCTAAAACTACGTTCTGACCGGAAGTAGTAAGGTGAAGTTGAGGATCGACAGGAAAGGAATTTTAACTCAAAATTAAACTGTTAATAAAATTAACATAATCCATACCTAGCTTCCGACCAGAATTTAAAGAGTCGTAAGTTAAAAGTCTTTAAACGACCTTGTTTAAGACTGTAATGTCTGAAAACTTTTTACCGTTAACTACACCCTTCTAACACTTTCATTAACTAAATTCACTTTAAACTTCTTTTGTTAGGTCCAACTTTCCAACAAATCTAAAACTAGACTAAAGCTAGAAAATTTTATAAAATTTTACAATTTTCATCAGTTTTGGGACATCAACTTCATCAACCAACATCAATTTCTTCTTTTAATCCATACATTATTCAGCTGATTTAGTCTTGGTCCTTCCATATCTGTAAGGAAACAACATTAGTACTGAATCTTACAAAGATTTTACATATCTCCTACAATTACCCTTTTATTGCCTCATTTGGCCCTCATATAGTTTCCTTCATACTTCTGTTTCTCCCATACTCTCTAGAAATTTGTTCTGAAATGTACTTAGGGTACTTATGTTGTGTTACCGCGAACAAAACTACCGCTACACAACATCTAACTTGTTAAATTTGACATAATAGACCTCACAAGACTCCCTACACGCCAACATTTTCCTAATGTAGTAAGCGAAAGTTTAAATTTACTTTCAAAAGTGTTAACTGGAGAGCAGCCTAACATTAAACACACATGTATATATTCTAAAGCATTCAATTCTTTCACAAATTCATTCACACGGAGGCTAAAATTTATCTCCTGTAAAAGTTTAAATTTATGGCAAAACGGAGACAGTGGAAAGTCCTAGACCTTCCTAAACTCGCTGCTTACGTACTTTGTAAATTACTCATTGATAATAATCCGCAAGTCCAGCTGTACTCCGTTTGAGGCAGGGCTTCGAGCGTAGGCACACAGGTGCTTAAAGTGAAAGAGCTAAAAAACATTCTCATGATGACAAATCGTATTTAAATTGTTCAAGATTGTCGATAGTTTGATCATGCTGCCCAAACAATCACCTAAACACTTAATAAAGAGTGCAGATACAAATTCTTGCAGGCTTCCTATTGACATTCTGAAGGTACTGTAATATTCGTTGCCACAGTTACACCTACTAAAACATCAACCTACTATCGTTGTACTTAATATACATGTTATAGATGAACAACCACTGATGCTAATGGTACTCCAAATCTTGGCAGCATCATAACCACCTAAGTGAAGCTTAACAGTGAGAGAAGTCACATCGTCCTCCGGCATTCGTTCAATAAATCTTTACTGAAAAAGAATCGAGAAGAATATTAGCGCTTTGCATTCGAGAGATGACAATCTTTACCATTTGATTTGATGCAGTAACTCGAGAGATGACTCATGGCAACACTCTGCGGGCGGTCACCAAGTGATTTGATGCGGTAATTCGAGTGGTGATACTTGATCACAACTTAGTTTGACGAAATAATTAGAGTGATAACAATGTTTATTTAGGTTTTGTTTGAGCAATATCTCTTCAAAAGTGTATCAGTACACGCGTATAAAGTAATATCAATCTTTAATTTTAAAAACGTGTTTCAGATTTACTTTTATATATGTGTCTTCAATACTTCTCACTCGACAATCATAGCAATAGAAATATTTCCAAAGTTACTGAGCCCAGTAAGCATGAAGTATGATGAAAGAATCCTTTCAATGAAGATAAGTCGATATTTCATTAAAGTAGAACGAAATTATGTCTGTGCATGCACTAGCTGATGGAGAGAGGAGGAGAGCGAACAGAGATGAAGATAACAATGAAGTAAGACATGTAAGAAAGTGAAAAGTCAGGGTAATAGTGAATCTGAAAGCGACAATGATTCTGCAGAAGAGACGGAAAATTCAGAGTAGATAGCATGCACAGAAACCGTTGGCGGAAAAGCATTTCATGTTGCTGGTTCGCCTGAGCGAAAAAGACCTTGAGTATTAATTGCTTCAACACCATTCATTGCTCCATCTTCATTTAAGGTAAGTTGTGATACAATACTACACCTAATTTTCCCGATTCGAAGTTTCCGAGGGGTATTCATTGTTAAGATGGCTTATTACCAAAATTGTCTAGTCTAAACTGAATCCATGTTTGATACAACAAGTGAGTTTTTATAGCAAAACACAGTTAGACCAACCGGTTATCTTAAGCTAGTGAGTAAACCTTTAAATTTACTCATCAGTGGGAAGAGACATTAAGAATAGTGTGCCGAAATAATTTTTATTCCTTACTATTTTATTTTTACATAAACAACAGGATATGATCGAAAATTAAAATTAAGCAGAAAAGCAATATTTAGATTAGTGGATATTTAGGGAAAAAAACTATATCAGACTTGAGGATGCAACATAGGACCTATTTAAGAGGAGGAGAGATTTTCCGGAATTTCGCCTTCAGTTTTTCATTCCTGTAAAACACTAATAGCAGATTAGGGACTTATGTCAGAGCATTCTCAAAATCGAAAAAGCTTACTCAAAATCTTCTCCAGTCTAGTGTGATGTATTTTACTAAATGCTAAGAATATGATCAGTTTTTATGTTTTTGTGTGGTATGAAATGGAATGCAGTTTGTAGAATATGAAGTTTTCCTATTCTGGAGAAAGCTTAGTTAGTTTAAAAGGGAAATTTGAAATGAATGGAATCACATTTTCGAATGAACGGAAAATGTAAAAATTTGCATACCTTCTTTATACAAAAAATATACAAAAAGTTGCATAGTGTTATGGAAAAATTTCATTACATTTTCTCTGTTTAATATTTTTTCCCTTATTTTTTGTCCAAAGGGGCTTTGTCCCTGAAGGACTATTGTTTTGAATTTGTGATTTTGCATTGAATCACTCTAAACGGTGAATCACTTTTCAAACTCTTGCCACCAAATTTTAAGAGTCCTGCATTATATTTGAAGAAATTAAATAATGAAAAATCTGCATAAATGTATGTATATTCCATCGCGCCTCGAATTTAAATGACAATCCTCCGAATATGGGCTGTGGAGCCATTTGAAAATTTGGCATTTGTTTTATATGTTTTTCATATTTTGTAAAATGTTAACGAATTTTCGAGTAACAAGCTCAACGATTTTAAAGCGAGCAATAGCAACACTCTACGGATAAAAAAAAAAAAAAAAAAAAAAAAAAAAAAAAAAAAAAAATTAATCTCAGCGCACAGAACTATGTATGGAAAAGCCTACAAATATGCTTATTTTAAAATTATATTGCGACATTGCTATTGAACTGAATTTTATGGTTTAAGTGCAAAGAACATGATATTTAATAAATAAAGGTAACACACAAAATGTTAATAAAACGCCCCTTTGGCTGTAATTTAAAATCTGAAAGCTTTCAGATTTTTTTATTTACTTATTTATTTATTTTAGGGGTGAAATTCATCTTTATAGTTCTTTAGGTCAAGAAAATGTGCATTTTGAAGCATAGAAAATTGCGAAAGCTGCTGAAGTGGAAAACGAAAGGATGCTAAAACACTTCCCAAACCTTCTAAGAACTGAGGTCAACACATTGCCTCACAATAGTAATAATTATTCTTTCTATAATTTTCTCTTAAATTGTATATCTCCTTAGTCGTTGTTTTGTATCGTATGTTAATATACCTTCTAGCAAGCAAAATTAAAACAAAATTCAAGAAGTTTCTTTTTTGCCTGGTTCCATTTTTTATAATCCACAGAATATTTTCATATCACATAGAGATAAAGACACATCCACGAACTTCGCATTCGGATGGTTCTCGAGTAATTAACTATTGTTTCTTAAAAAAATAAAATCTTTTCTTTGAGGGAAAACCATTAGAACATCAATTTATTAATCTTGAAAAGGCCAAATGATGTTATTACGGTTAATAACTAACATGCTACAAACAAAAAGAAATAACTTGATGCATCGACATATCGTATTGCAAGTCGTTGCTTGCTAATGGTCCGTTCCTCTCCAGTTTGATGAATCTGCATGGTATTAGACCAGAAAGTTCTGGAAGGAAGGATTCTGCATTAGGACAGAAATATATTTTTAAGGTGGCGATGGCGACAGCTGGGAAAGGAATATTGTTGGTCGCATCTTCTACTGAAATGGATTCTTCCTGAGAACATGAAGGCAAGTAATAGATGACACACGAATCAAGGCGAAATAAATAATAGATAAATATTTTCTTAATATAACTTAGCTACAGTATATTTTTCTAAATATCACACTGGGAAAATATAAAATTAGTAATCATGTGATTTTTCTTAAAAAGGGAGAAATAAGTTCATGCATTTTATTTTAGTTCGGTTTTCTATTCCTTTTTGGGATACTCTATAACTGAAAATAATGGCGCCGTTCAAAGTCAAATCAAATCATTGATTACAGTTCAAATTCAAGACTTTAATTTATTTCATTTCGCTCTTTATTTTGTAAATTACCATTTAACTACTATTAATATTATTAAAAATTACTATGTAAGCGATTATTTCATAATAATAAAGATATTACTATATACATCTGTACCTTAACCCTTGTCCCAAATTGCTTTATTTTGTTGAAAAAGAATTTGTAACTTTTTTATTATACTTCTTTATGCATGAGAAACATCTCATGTTATACTTAAAAAAAATGTAATAAGCTGTACATTAAGCAAAAAAAAACATATTAGATTATTCATTTAAATCATATTAACCAAGATGCTGATGTCACTGGTAACGATGGGAGTAATAGCTGAAAAAACAATAATTTATAACTAAAAAAGAATAAATAAAATAGTCAACTCATGGTTTAAAGCTCTTTTATCTCATACCGTGTTAAAACTAACATCAAAACATTTCACAGAATACAAATAATAAAATTAGATCATAATAATAAGGCTTATAACGACCAATCGGTTACATTCTTCAAAAAGGGAGAAATAAGATTAAGCATTTTATTTTAGTTCAGTTTGCTATTAATTTTTAGGATACTCTATAACGGAAAATAATGGTGCCGTTCAAGGTCAAATAAATTCACAATAAAATTCACAATTTAAAATGTATAAAAATAATATCTTTCACATCTTAATATCTTATCTCAAATTTTCAAAATAAAACATTAATATTTATGATACCATTTAAAAGTGCTTTACAATTCATTGCCATCCACATCTTCAAAGCAAAGAACAAACAAATGAAAATTTTCGATATCTTTTATTTTGTTCAGGTACATTGTTATTATTTTTGTGTGGTGACAGTTCGCATAAACTTTATGAATAAACAACCCAGAACAGCAAAAACGTTAACTGAAGATTTGGAATTTTTTTTTTACAATTCTAAACAGTAGCAAATTTTACTAGTGAAGATATTTGGAACAAAACATTCACCGTCATTAGAGATTTTAAATGGAAATCGGTATGTCGCAAATTTTAGGTGAAATGGATCATTATTCTTTGTTTCTGTTTGCCAAAAAAGGGGTATAGGAAAACAGAAATAGTATACTGCCTGAATGATTAAAGTGTGAACATGCATTGTGTTTGTGAAGAGATGTGTTGGTTTTTACGTATTGTATAATCTCTGCAATTTTGTACCATTAGTATGAAGAAAATTTTTATGGGATATTTGAATTTATTATTGTTCGGAAATGATCAATAAAAGCGAAACTTTTGGTCCTTTTGATAATTCTTTTAAAGGCAGTGTACAGTACTCAGTGCAGGATTTACGTATAAGCTACACAAGCTATAGCTTAGGGCCGCTACTTTCTTGGGGGCCCCCAAAATCACATTTGGCACTGACATATGATGTCTGGATTTATATAAACGATCTCATATCTCAAATAGCTTATGGCCTTATCAAGTCTAATGGTATGCTATAGTATGTACAGGCAGGGATGCTAACACTCAGCTACAAGTTGATGTTCCAGATGAAATTTTGGTGTCTTCGTAAATAAACGTTTTGCCAATTTTAATAAATATCGATGCCTCAGTGTTTCCTATTGACAATACTCAAGGCCTTTATAGAGATAATCATCAGATTTTAACATCCACACAATCAAATTCATTCATTGTTTCAAACAATATTTTACAACTAGATTTTCTTCTGCTCTGCATATTAAAGATGTATATCCATATCCTCATATTATTTTAACCTTAAGTGCAATATTAAGATTTTAAAATTAAAAAATTAAATCGAAATTTAGTTAAATTATTTTGTCCAACTGGATTAGTGCAATTATTCTGCGGATTCTAAGCATGCTCAAGATAGGTTGTGGTATGTGATGTACAGAGATATATCAAGTATATTCTCAGTTTACAGTGAATAAGTATATCTCAGGGAACACAGTCATAAGAATGGGGAGCAAATTTACATGTTGTGCAATATAATTATATTTTAACCTAAGGGTTTTACTTATGTCTCGCATTCTAAAATATACTTTTAGGTATAGTTCAAGTAGTATTAACTAATGAATATGCAGAGGCATCGCCAAACAGGCGCTACGAACTCAAAGCTATATGAAAACTCTGCCAGATGGCGAAAACCAATATGGCAACCTTACAAGCTGACGGAGAGGGACGAGTTTTTCTCCGGCAGGTCTCAGTCAGTTCTTCACCGAGATATGTAAACCTCGCTACCCGTATCTGTGTTGGGGAAGTGTTGGACTATGTTCTTTTTCTTAAACCGTTATAATGTATTCAACTATGTTGTTTTTTCTCATTAAATTTCTTTATTAATTGCTATATGTCTGTATTAATTAAGATTCCTGTTTTTCTAGTTAATGCTATCGATACTGTCGTAGGCACGTGTTACCCACGCGTACCTCAAATATATTAACAGCTTCTTAAAAGAAAAAACTGTAACACTTTAAAACTAACCATAGACAATTAATTTAGGAATGGAAATTTTCATCTATTTTTGTACCTAGGCATTAAATAAGCAGCGAATTTATGAAAAACACGTTTATTACAAATGTACAGTTGTTTAATTACCCTTGCGAAAACAAAACCCGAATCTAAACTTTTGACTAAAAATCAATCATTTTGTTTAAACTAAAGAACAAAAAGCAGCGTTTCAATAATTGCATTTATGCTGCTTATTAATGCTTAGAACGGGATTTCTAGAATTATTCATTAGAATATAAGGTTCCGTTCTTTGAAAGTAATTAGTTTAACTTTTCAACGCATTTAAAAATGCATTAATTTTACCGAATTTCTTTCCGAATTTAGAAAGTCTTTTCAGTTGCTAATATGATTACGGATGAGTAATAAATAAACCATAAGCAAATTAATGCTAAGTTCGAGATTTTAGAATTTATTTATGTAAATTGCAAGAGAAATATATAATTCATACTATATGGAAGGAGCTGTGCTAAGTTATGGTATAAAAATATTATTTATATTCAGCAGTAATGTCCTTTCTTCTCTTAAATTAATATAAGTACATTAGGAAATAAAATAGCGAAATTTTGTTTTATTGTAAGCTTTTATTTTGTTCACTCATTGTATTTCAATGTGAGTGGAATACTACTGCTTGTATTATAAATTTTTAACCTACTTCCTGATAAGCCAGTAAGTTCAAATTTTGTACACACAGTGTTGGTCGATGACAATGTGATAATACAACATTTTCAAAATTCATGTTAAATGTTTTAATGTAATGTTTGATTTCTTGTTTTGCATATTTATTTAACTAGAAAACGAAACATATCAGAAATTTACTGTTTACATCATCGAACACAGCAAGAAAAAGAATTTTTGATTGAAACTTATATAAAAATTGCAATTTAATTTCTGAAGAATTGTTTTTAAAAAAAATTTTGATATTTTTAGCATATTGACGTTTATGATTTTAAAAATTTTCCCGTTTACAACCACATCGATTACAAAGTTCTGAAATTTTTGATTTCTGAAAATTTGATTTCAGCTTCTAGGCTTGCTTCAGCGATAGCCATTTTTGTGACAGGTTTGGTAGCTATGAAATGGCTCTGCATTTCTGCAATAATTCCAGACGAATCCTCTGAAATATGCCACAATGTCCTTCGCTTTCATCTTAGTGCCAGTCACAGCAAATTTATTCTTCCACAGCATAATAGGAATTGTTGTACGCTTGTTATAACTAAAAATTGAGAATTTGAAGTACAAGACACATTAGACAGCCCTAGTTCATAGCTTGCATCGCTCTGCTGAAGTAAAAGACGTATGTAGTTCTAGATCAACAATTAATTTAAAAAATTCCCTCCAGTAATTAAAGGAGAATATTTGGACAAAAGTATATTTTAAACGGATGATAAGGACATAAAATAGAAATATCCAATAAAGTGAATAAACTTGTTCAAGATAAAAGATTATAGAGCTACAAAGCCAGTTTTATCCTTTGATCTCGGTCGCCAGAAAACACAAGCTATACAGACGTCAAGAAGCGTTCATTTTTCGTAAGCTAGTGGAGTCGGTTGCATGTATCAACTAACTCCGCTACACGTAAAGTTCAGGCTTCTCAAATGATGAAAAACTGCGGCTGTCCCAAAAGTCCCCGTTAGCTTAGACACATCCTCGCCTGAAAGTCCCTTGTGATTAGCGTAAAACGATTGATAGTACCCCCCTAACGCTAATGTTAGACTACTGTTATATGTGTAGACCTTAGACTTTTATAGAACTACTTTTAGATGTGTAGACTTAAGACTTCTGTGAGATTACTGTAACGCTATTGTTAGATGTACTAACGTAAAGAGCCGTTCACATCAGGGTTTATCTGAGCTAACGAAGTCTGTTCCATGTATTAGTCCATACATGGTTCAGCTATATGAAATTCAGACTTCAGTAGTTTTTCCACAGAGTCGGCTGTGCCAGGTGTTTCCGTTAGCCCCCTCGCCAGATAAACCATCATGTGAGTGTCTCTTAAGACTAGTGTAAGACTACTGTTATTTATATGTTTAGACGTAAAACTACTTCAGGACTACTGCTAGGGATATGTAGACGTAGGATTACTTTTTAACTACTACTAGATTTGTAGACTTAAGACTACTGTGAGACTATTGCTAGATGGAAGATTACTTTAACACTGTTGTTAGACTTGTGCCATGTGACGACTAATCTACTAGTATAGAAAATGGTTAAAACAACAGCTTACTGTTGGCAGCACAAAACCTGTCAATACGTCGATAAAACGATTAAGATTCTAGTGGCGAATGAAATTGGTCAGAATCTGAATTCAATATGTTAACAATCAAAATGGGCTAAACACATGTGATAAATTTGTCGATATATTAGCAAATGGAACATTATTTTTATATTAATCATTTCTTATGTTACACACACCCCACACAGTAACATAAAAATGTTCCTTGAACATCGCTTACTTTAATAGTCCTTTAAATCAATCTTCAATGGAATGGTTTTGATGGTACTTAAGTAGCTGTCTTTAAACATTCTTACTTCTCTAGAGAATAAATTCTTCTTATTACCCATAAACCTAGAAAAAATTAAATGTAACAAAAATAAATCTAATACAACACATTTATGAAGTCATAAACTATAATTATTCTGAATGTTACTTTTCATCCTTTTAATGGCAGCGTATTATGGATTATGCAGCAGACGAAAATGATAATAAATTAATTAAAAAAATTCACTGAGCCTAAGAAGTTTTTCATTTGAATTCGTTACATAAGAATAACATAAGGGATTCTATTTATATTTTAATTAAGTGTCCATATAAATATTTTGGCAATTGATTAAAATGTTTTCTACGTATTTTAGACAAATTAAACTATGAGCTTAAAATTGGGCAAAACAGCAACCTTACTTTGGCATGTATTTTCAACAAAACTAGATTGATTTCAGAAGTAATGCGACATAATTTCGCGTTTTTCAGAAATATAAAACATAACTACGGTTAAAGAAGAATCAACCATACTTAAAATAAAATCAGTAGGTAGAATACAGGTAAAACAACTGACATGTGCAAAGGAATTAGTAATAATGGAATACGAGAGGAATAATGGAACAGAATTTTGATTGATTTGGAAGAGTACACACGAATTAACGTCGTTAAATAATAAGGCTATATTTTATAATGTTAGAAGCTTCAAGGAAATTTATTTCACTAATCGAAGAGGATAGTTTGAGCATAATCAAACTCAAATTTTTGGTGAAGAGGAAAACTGTGATTTACCATGAAGGCATACTTGTGTAGGTCTCTTTATAACCCAAAATTCGTTTTCTTTGATAGCTAATCATATTTGAGTTAGCAACACGCCGCATAACGATTATTGGGCGAGTTAAAGTAACTAGACTCAGTGTAATACTCATATATTTTCAGGATTAGTTTCGAAACTATAAATATAGAACCTTCTTCCTTCAGATGCAGTAGGGTAAATTAAGTTAATTATAGCTGTTCACTTAACGACAGTTAACCTAATTTAAATTAGGTTCTGCAAAACTGTACCGACGAGCTTCTTCTTCGGTTGGTGGATAGGATTTCCTAAAAGTGTTTGAACCTTTTTTTAACAATTGCAAAATTTTAAAAATCGTAGATCTTTCTCGTTTTGTTGGTAAGGTTTGCTCGACAGATGTCTCTACGATTGTTTTTTTATTTGCTCTTCCGCCGATTTCACTATAAACATGAAAGCTGCTTATTCAATATTTTCTATATTTTAGCTCAAAGGGCTGTTAGTTTCGTAATGCCATTTTAAAATGTGTCACTTTTCATTCGATACTGTTGTCATTTGGTAAAATGTTAGATATTTATCTTTAACATTTAATCTCTCTTTTCTACTGATGAACAAAATAATCTATTTAAAAGCAATAAATACAAATCTTAATAATTTTTTTAAATTTAATCTGATTCGTTTAAATAAAAATTAATTTAATTCGTCATATACCAACCATAACTAACTTTACAAGCGCTCATTTTGGCAAGCGTTAAAATCTGAACTATTTAAGATTTTCTTTTATCCTGGCAAAAGGGGACCTCATTATATTCGATATCGATAAAACTTGTGTAATTTTATCACCGTACGAGAATCGGTCATTGGGTAACTCATAAAATTTCACGAAGTCTTCGCAGTTTCGAATTATTAATAATAATCTCGTTGTTGAAGATTTATATTAAAGCATTTCTAAAAGGAATGCTACGTCAACCAAGAACCAAGCAATAACCCAAATATCTAGTGTCAAAATATTTAAATATTATACTAACTAATTAGTCATTAACTAGAAACGGAGGTAAAGCAATTTCGGTAAACGACGTTTTCCACGAAATGCTATAAAACTTGGAATAATTGTGGTTTTGAATTTGGAAGGAGATTATTGGAAGTGTATTTTTAAGGAACTTTCTTAAGAAAAAAGAAAACGAAATAGGAAAAAAAAAAAAAAAAAGAAAATTTCAAAGAAATCAAAATCACCTCTGTTAACAAATAACTTTGTTTTTTTAGGTTTATTACTAACCTCGCTTTCTTCGCACTAAATGTCACATACAATTCAGGAGCAACATCACAAAATATTTAGAGCTAGTATATCTTTAGAATTCTCAGTAGAGTGTTAGGGGTTGCTATAAATATTTTTAAAAGTTTCTGCTGTATTATTTCTTTGGAAACCAGCCGCTTAAAAAAGTTAACATAAAAAAAAACAGTATATAAGGATTTTAATAAATTCAACTAGTGTCATTTCTTAAGAAAATACTTAACATTTCTAGTTAGATATCTCAAAACTCAAATATACTTTTATTTAAACAA